TATGTCTTTAAGTCTCAAAACTACGTGTGTGGTCTTTCTTTTATGTATTGCATTATAACAGTTTGTGAAAAATCTGTATGTGATGGAGAAAAATGGATATTTCCGGATTCAGCATACAGGAATTACTGTATAACATGTAACAATTTCAAGACAATAAAACCATCGCAGGCCTGTGTTATGGTTGTAAAAATCATTACAGAGAATTCAACCTCAGCACCTGTTAACTGTAAAAATGCACCTTCATGTATACATAGTATTATATTATAGTACACATTCTTAGCTATTAAATACACCTTAAATGTTCAAAACGTGGTAGCTATTTTGAAAAATAATTCAAATATTGTTTAGTTGGGCTTTGATTTGATTATGTTGTGGAATTTGTATACATTCCAAAATATATATTTCAAATACAAGTACCTTTAAGTTCCATCTGCTGCACTTCTAAACTTCCATATTTTTTTAATCTTTCATATTATTTATTACAAAAAAAACACCCACAACTGAATACAATATTTTGGGAAAGAATGATCAAAAATCTTAGCAATATTCTAAACAGACACATTTTACATAATTATATATGTGAAGCTTAGCATTTGAGATTCTATAGTTAACTTACAGTATTTATAGCCATTCTTGCTTCAAAGTTATCTACACAGCTAAGAACAAGGTCTACCCGTTTTCCTTTTAAGCTTCCATACCTAAAAAACATAAAATTGATATATCAGTGGTGCTTTATTGTAACTGTATCTACAATACTATTTTTAAGGAACAGTTTGTAACAAATGCTTTCCATTTTATTAGCAATTTTATTCACAATAAAATGATTTTAAAATGTTACGAATATGTAGCAGTTAAAGTGGATAACAAAAAAATCTGCCCTCAGCAGATTTGATGATGGGACCTTACTATGCTTTCCAAATTGCTTTACTAATTCAACAAACTAGACCCTAAAAACCAACCAGAAAATTCTTATCACACTCAAAACTTTCTTCATTTTTTTCAACGTAGAAATAACTTCCAAGCTTGTAAACTAAAACTAAAGCAATGTTAACTTGAAAATGAAATCAAACAGCTGCCCACAAATGGAAGTAAAAGTCAGATAAATAGTTTAAAATTTACAACTTACAGTGAAGATAAAAAATTTGTTTCTTTAACAGTAGGTATAATTACCCCTAAACTGTACTACATTCAAGCAAATAAGAAAACATATATTCTCCTTCTGGTTTCCTAAGTTTCACAATAATTTGAATTTTAAATACTTCCACGAATAAAAAAAAAAAGGTTTGGATATAGAATAATAAACAATAGATGTGTCTAATGAGAGAAATTTAAATCTTGACCACCTGAAAATTACCTTTATTACAAAAAAATGAAGATTACATCTCAATTAGTCACTTGTGTAACACTATTATTAAAATTATAATAAAATAATTATCCAAAACTATCTTTTTTGATCTGTAAAATTATGAAAATAGACCTCTGACCTATACTTACTTCACTCTGTCCATGAAATGTTGGAAGTTTTCTACTGTTGTGATGTTATAATTGTAAGTTTCAAACTCCACATCAGGATTTATGAAACTGGAAATAGATCGAACACTCATGTAGTTTTTTCTACTTCATCTAATGACCATATTTTACTTTTACAAATGTTTCTTTCTTTGCACAAGATTTCCTCTACAGCAACAACTCTCAAACACAATGCACACTAAACCCAAGTGAAGTTAAATAATAAAAATGTAAGGTCCAATACATAAAACCACATTTACCCCAGTTTGTCATTTATCTCTTTATTTGATATTTGTATTTTCAGTCCTTGCCATTCCACAGTACCTGGTAACCTATTGAATGTGCATGTTCAATTAAAATAAAGTCAAAGTATTTTGATGTTTTTTTAGCTTGTTTTTCATATGGATAGTGATTTTATTGTTTCACCAAATACTTTGGACGAATATGGCATACTTAATGTTCTGACAAATATAGGATGGTTAACATTTTCACCAGCATGGGACAGTTAACATTCTGACCATCACTGGATGATTTACATTCTGGACACTGCAAAATTCTCATTATTCTGACCACTATGGGATGTATAACATTCTTATCGGTATTGGATGCCTAACATTTTGACTGGTATGGAGTATATGACATCCTAAACAATACAAGACATTTAACATTCTGACCAGTACAGGATGCTTTAACAGCAAAAGATACACAATAATAATAAAATGAAAGTGATTGCTGTGATTGGTAGTTCAAAAGTAGGGATGATGTCACACTACCTAGATTGCACACTGATAAATGTGCTGTGACAGGACTCCTTAATTTGAGGGAGAAAAACCTGTAGTTTGGCCAGAACTAAATGCTCTAATGTGTAAATCAAGTCAATCAATTAATCATTTTTGTTGTTTAAAAGAATATAGGTTAGTCATTTATCTACAAAAGTGTAGTATAAATTTGCCATATTTTGTTAAGGAAAAATGCACCATTAAAAAAGCAGCATTGTAAAGTAATTGAAATTAAAAGTAAATTTTTGATTTTGTGAGCTGGTTTCATGTGAGGCTTAATTTATTTTTTCTCATTATTTTTGTTACACATGTATTAAATAATGAAAGCTCTCTCATTGTTCTCATGAACTAAAAAAGTGGATACTGTTTATCTTTTTCTTAATACAGGTAAATACAAGTTGTATGTTTTAAGTCAAAATCATTCACAGAAAATGCAACTGTTTTATAATTGGTATGGTTTTAAAACCTTATTACATTATTGTTACTATGTTATACATCATTGCCACTCTCCTATACAATATTGTTACTGTGTTATACATCATTGCCACTCTCCTATACAATATTGTTACTATGTTATACATCGTTGCCACTCTCCTATACATTATTGTTACTGTGTTATACATCATTGCCACTCTCCTATATAATATTGTTACTGTGTTATACATCATTGCCACTCTCCTATACAATATTGTTACTATGTTATACATTATTGCCACTCTCCTATACATTATTGTTACTGTGTTATACATCATTGCCACTCTCCTATACAATATTGTTACTGTGTTATACATCATTGCCAATCTCCTATACATTATTGTTACTGTGTTATACATCATTGCCACTCTCCTATACATTATTATCACTGTGTTATACATCATTGTTTCTCTCCTATAGATTGTTATTACTGTTATACATCACTATCACTCTCCTATATATTATTGTTAGTTTTATACATCACTGTCCCTCTCCTATGCATTATTATCACTGTTTTATACATCATTGTTGCTCTCCTATACATCGTTATTACTGTGTTATACATCATTGTTTCTCTCCTATATATTGTTATTTCTGTTATACATCACTATCACTCTCCTATACATTATTGTTATACATCACAGTTATACATCACTGTCACTCTCCTATATATTATTGTCAAAGTTTTTATACATCACTGTCACTCTCCTATATATTATTGTTAAAGTTTTTATTCATCACTGTCACTCTCCTATACATTATGTCAAAATTTTATACATCACTGAGATTTTAAAGTTTAAATCTACTGCCATTAAATATGCTCTAAACATTCAACATACTTCACTAAAAATGAAAGTCTGAGAGTTGACATATTTCAATTTCCATTACCTTACAATGCTGGTTATTAACAACACTTTTTTCTTAACAAAATGTGGTAAAATTATACTAAACTTCTGTAGATAATAACTAACCTTTAATTTTTTGGTACTTGATTGACTGATGTGATTTACACATTAGAGCAGTTTAGCTCTGGTCAAAGTACAGGATCTTCTTCCTTCCAATATGAAGTCCGGTCACAGTACGGTTCTCAGTGTGCAACAAATATTTTATTTATTTTTAATAGCAAGGACCCAATGTAACTAAAGTGAGGATATTACTTTCACTTGAGGAATTTGGTTCTGGCCTTGGTATGGGCTCTATCTCCTCAAGTAATAATTCAATTTGAGTTAAGTAGTATCTATCCTCTTCATGACAGATAAAAAGAAATTTACTAAGCTACAATTCCTGCTTTTTCTAATTCATATGCTATGCATTAAATACATGTTATATATTAAATATTTATAAATTAAACAGTTGTTTAGTAGGTTTATTTTTTAAAGTAACTATCTAATTAAAGAAAGTAATGTGTCAGTATAACTGAAAACTTGTTTATTATTGGATAAACAGTGTATTATTTGTTAACCTGGTAAAAAAATGTAGCCATACAAATAGCACTCTACTTCCATGATAACAAACATTTATGTTTTCAAAGTAACTGTCATTCATGAAAGCTAAATGTACAAAATATGGAAGTATGTATCTCCAGGGCAAGGCCTAATGTTGCCACTCTTGGCCTAGCTGTATCTATATATATATAGTAATAATAAGCCTGGAAGCCTAAAAGTATGAAACCCAAACTAATACTTTGTACTATAATATTCGTTTTTAATTCTTATATTCTTTGTTTTTGGCACCTTTTATACTTTACTGAAAAAAATATAACTAGTAACTGTAGAAAAGTTTAGTGGCAGTCTTACAGCCACAATTATGCAACAAATGCTACATGGTGAATTTTATTTTCTGATTCTTGAGTTTGCAATTGGTGAATGTTTCAAACTTTCTACTATTATAAGCAAAAAGTTAAACAGAATTTCACAATTAACCACTAGCCTAATTGAAAACTTAAATCTGACTCTCAAAGAGTAAACAAATGATACAATACAAAAAAAAAATACAAAAGTAAAAAAGAAAGTCACAATAAATTAAATCATAAGCTCACAATTATAAACACAACTAGTTTATAAAGTCACCAACAGATGGTGCTATGAATATGATCAATGCAGCAGTGTAACTTCTGTAACCTCTGAATTGTGTGATTGTGACACTTCACTGCTTTGTGAAGCTTCCAGTGTATTTGGTTAATAGTTAAATTTCAAGAACTCGTAGGCCATAACTCCATGTTACAAGTGTCATGTGGTTAGAAAAACGAGTTAATAAAACTTAACGTACTAATGAACCAAACGTACTAACTTGATACAAAACATAAGTGGTAAAAACATTCTTACTTTAATGTCTTGGCAGCTGCTTCTACTTTACTCATACCAGCCTGGTGTGGTTGAAAAAACAGCCTGTTCATGTTAGCAAGCTCCACTTTGTCATAATCAAACAACAACAGCTGTAAATAAAATTACCCTTTCATAATTTATCTTAGAAGATGAGTCATACAATTACATATTTTTTATATATTTATTGCACATCTACACCATAAAATATGTGGTTCTAGGTGCACATAAGTATACATATAATGTATTTCTTCAGTTCCATTTATTTTGCTCAAGAAATTCAGCACTTTATTTGAATAAATAAGTTATTCTTAAGTTTATGCAAGATTTACACAAAAACTTTCAGATTCAAGTTTCACAAGTGTATGGTGTTATTATTTAACTCATATATTTAATAGTCTGTTTTTCTACTTTATAATGAAAAGCTCATAAGAATAATAGAACAGAAACATACTGCCTGATGAACAATTTATGCTAACACAATAGAAAGTGTCTTTTTAACCAAGTAATATACGTAACAAAAATTTGTCCCAAAAACACTAGTGTTTGTGAATTTCTTATTGCTTTGATATACATAAATGCTAAAGTTAAATATGCAAACCTTTCCAATCCCACACCTAGTAAGCATTTCAGCTGTCACACTTCCAACTCCTCCAATACCTACAACTGCAACAGTAAATTCTCTAATTTTCTAAAAGAAGGAAGAACAATCAATTAGTGATTAATAAATAATTCAAAATAAGTAGTAATTAATGAAAAATGCAGCATGCAAAATATCAAGATAAAATACTATTATATAACTAATATTAACTTCTGATCAGAGTAAGCTACCAATTTAAAGCTAAAAATCAACCTTGTAAAGAGAAATCCAATTATAGATACTTTATTTATTACCTGCTTACTTATAAAGATTAGAATGCATTGTTTTATCACTTGGGTACCTAAAACATCAACAATATTTTTGGTCATAATCCCAATAATATCTCAAGTGGTTTGACCAGCTTAGGAAGTTTAGGTTGGACCTAAATACACAAGTAATAGAAAAAGAAATTGTAAAAATTAAATATGATGTAGGGATGGCAATGCCAAAAAGTGCAGAAACAAGGTAGGGATGATACACAAACATACAAAAATCTCTACAAAAGTAGCCAGTAAATACTGAGTCAATCTTACAAGCTTATGGTTATTTGCCATTGTAAAACTGTAAAGCACCATTCAGCTTAAATGCTTTTGTTCAAACCTGAATTCATGCAATTGACAGGAATGTAATATTTAGTTGTAGATAAATGTTATTCTTGCAAAGATTTGGCTACTTATGTAGTGATTTTTGTATTCATCACGACTTTGTTTCTGTGTTTTCCGGCATTGCCATTCCTACATCATACTTAATTTTTGCAACTTTTTTTTATTACTTGTTTCTCCTCTTTTTTTCTAAACACTTTTATTGAAGTTGGTTGATAAGTGAACAGTTGTTATATTTTCATAATTCAATGGTGATATATATTGTTAATATCACATCAGTTTTGTCAGTTTCTCTAATTTTGGATTACAATAATGGCCAGTAAAGCTCATATGGTTCCTCCAGGATGGTACAAGCACCCCAGCAGGCTGGACCAATGTTAAGAGGATATTTATCAAACTTATGCTATCCAACTTTACCCCAACTCACTGCATGTGCATACAATTGACTCCACCAAACACTAGGGTCATGTCGATTAACAGGGAGGACATCATACAGATCCAAGGTCATGAAGTATGATACCATGAATACACACACAGCTGCCAGGCACAGCCCTACTGAAAATTTTAAGAAAAGTAGACCTCTACATAATGTATTGTTTTAATAATTCAGAAACAGGTGTTTTTAAACTCAGACATCAATAACGTGTACACAGATCTGTCAGTTGCATAAATATTTGATCTCCTTGATACCCTGAGTATTACTTCAGATTATTCTTTTGTTCTTTCTTTATTTTTACTACCATGCTTAGTGATAGACTAGATGTACTTCTGCAGGATCTCTGAAAGTTTTCTTGCTTTTGAAGTTCATATGTCATGCTGTGTTGTAGCCTCCAGAGTGCATAATTCTTCTGGTGATCCATGGCATGTACATATTTTACTGACACCATGACAGAACAAATTAGAAAATTAAGCATTCCTTATTTGGCATAATTTTAATGTCTACTGACTGACTGACAGACAACACACTACTGTATAGTTGTGTGAGTGGTTAAAACAGGTAACCCCTCTAGGTGGCCTTTGGCCCCCTTTTGGGGAAATTAAGCTAACAATGCAAAACAATCTCTAAAATAATTAAATATTAGAAAAAGCTAAATTTTCATGTTAAAAAGACAAACAAAGGCTTCCAAACCTCCATATTTCATAAGAACACTCGCACTGCACTTTATGTTCCTTGGAATTCCCTTCATGACCAATGCCAAAAGCTAGGTATATTAAAAAGTGCTACTTGTACAAATAAAATCATAAGTTCCATCATCAATTGTTTAAAAAAAATCTAAGATTTCAATTTTGTGTAAAAATAATCCCCCCACCATTGTTGTTAATAAAGTCATGCTTCCTTTGAAAATAAGCCACAAATTGACACAGAAAATGATTCTTTCAAAGATGTTCCTGTCACTTGTATTTTACTATTCATCCCAAACTTATCTCAGCTAAAACCAGTCAGAGAGTATAAATTTAACATTAAAGTACAACTTACATTTTTACCTGGAAAGAAGATAGCTCATTTACTACCGAAAAAGTATATGGATAATGTACAGATTGCCAAAGCTATTATATTGGTGAAATAAACACACAACTTTCTACTTATTTGCATGAACATTTAAAATCTACATCTCATGTTTTTCATCACATGTCTAGCAACAATCATTCTTTTGATTCTTCTAAGATAAAAATCTTCAGCAGAGAAGACAACATTAATAGACAAAAAAATAAAAGAAACCTATTAATAAAACAACATAACCCTATTCTTAAACAAATATAAAGGTGTTCATTTTTATCTATTTTAATTGATTCCTTCTCTCTTCTATATAGAATGAATTTCAATACTTACTCAGGCTTAAAAGCTTTACTTATATATTCCTCAATTTGATAGTTCAATAATAAATTATTTTATTAAGTTTACAATTGCTTAGTTACGTGTTAGTAGATTACTATTGATATAGATTCTCACATGATTCAATTTTTTAAATTAAATTCTGTTAGCCTTAGTTCTTGTACCACAAACCTGTAATCCTGGTGAAACATTGTGAATAAAACAAACAAACGTTTTGCTATATACAACTGATAAAAATGTGTGTGAATCTCTAAAACAGAACTGTAATAATAGAAAAACCAAAAAACTAGATACATTAAACATTCTAACCTATACTCATAATGAAAGTAACAATAATGAAACAAGTGTATACCTTACTTACAGAATACATGTGTAATGAAAAAGATTCATATTACATCCTTTGTCATAGTCTAGTAATTATTCCTATAGTGATAACTGAAATATTGTAATTACCTTTTCCGGTACCCAAGTCTATCCATTCAGTGTACTTGTAATAATGTACCTGTTTAACCCAAGTCTATACATTTAGTGTGCTTACTACTCCTGCACCTGTTTAACCCATGTCTATACATTTAGTGTGCTTACTACTCCTGTACCTGTTTAACCCATGTCTATACATTTAGTGTGCTTACTACTCCTGTACCTGTTTAAACCAAGTCTATTCATTCAGTGTACTTGTAATAATGTAACTGTTTAACCCAAGTCTATACATTTAGTGTGCTTACTACTCCTGTACCTGTTTAAACCAACTCTATCCATTCAGTGTGATTGCTCCTCATATACCTGTTTAACTCTTTCAGCACAGGCTCGGTCCCTGGGACCAACCTCGGAACCATTTTGTGCTTGTTATAGTTTTCATGCTATAGCTTTTAAATTGGTAAGCGAACGTTAATGAAATTTGGCAGATTATCAGTAAGTATTACAATGCTTTCATATGCAAAATATCAAATTTTTTTATTAAGTCTTAAGATTTGTAAAGCAATGTTTTTCTCATGCAGCTCACGTGCACTCACGTTACCGTATCAAATAACATAAAACTGACCTTTGGTCTGTGCAAAGTAATTTGTCTTGACTGTGTTTTAGTGGACTATTATTTTGTAAAATACAGTCACATTTCAATTATTATACATTATATATGTATATAGATTATTGCTATTTTGAAACAAACTCTTTAACCTATTTTTTGTAAAACACAGAACCGTAAATAAAGAAGTAAAGCAAACAATTATGTCTTCTAGTTATGACCTTTGTACTCGGTTGCTGCTTATCGTAGGTTGCTAACCCTTTAAAAATTGTGCATGTAGAGGATATGAAACAAATTTTTTTTAGGTTTATATATATATATATATATATATATATTTATTTATACACACATTTGAATAACTAAAAAAAATCATAAATTACTACATCAATACCATAGAATTCCACTATAATTTATCAAGCTTAGTAACTAAGATGTATTTTAGTGTAAAAAAAAATATGAAATTTAGAGCAGACTAAAGACACACCCTAAATTGTTAAAATATTGGTTCAAAAGAAAGAAATGGCACCAAGCCTGTTAAAATGGCTGAGAAAGCTACTAGGGGACATTTTGAGCTTCTGATTAGTTATTCATGTCATATATAGTAGTAAGTGTATATAAGGGAGTGTTTCCAAAAATGGATAGAGGTGGGCTGGTTGCCACTGTGTTTGATTTATTACATGAGCAAATAGAAAAGATGAGACCTTCTTAATTTATATTCTAGCTTGTCAATATCGGTAATTTGAATTTTTAATTCGTACGAAACTATAGACTTCACAAACATCTAATTTGAACCAGTGCTGCATTCAACATACCATGTGACAGTCAAAAATCGATGTTTATCTGTGTCTTTTAATATATACTTTTAAATTAAAAAAATTAGTAATGTATAGTACTAAAATTTGAATTATAATCTACAGGTTGATACCAAACTTATTGACAAAAATTCATGAAACAGTAGTTCATTAAAATTTTGAATGCAAGAAAACAAACAAGATGACATGGCCTTTCACCCATGACCCATTCAATTTGCTTGCTACTTATATACCAGTTTAACCCAAGTTTATACGTTCAGCATGCTTACTGTTCGTGTACCTGTTTTAACACAAATTTATCAATTCAGTGCTTGCTACTCATGTACAAGTTCAATAAAGTTCAGCCAATTTGGTGCTTGCTAGGCTATTTTTACAGCTAATGTTTATTTAAGGTTTGAAGTAGAAAAAATATCTTTCATACAAATAAGAACATGCTAAAATTTCCATTTTAGGCAGATTTCTACTCATTGATTTTATTATTGAATATTACATTTTACAACTACAAAACACTGAAATATTCTATACTTCTCAGTGAACTTGTAAATAAAGTAAAAATTGGTGTTCCCAAGAAAACAGCTGACTAATTCAATGAAGAAGGTTAAATCACAATGAATAAAAATCATTCCTATAAACCAGAATATGTATTGCAGAAATATTTTTCAGAAAACTGACTGGCAATGCATCTAATATACTTTTTAAATTAAACAAAGCAGTGTTTCAACTGATATGAGAGAAAACAGAGCTTATGAAAAATTCTAAATAATAACAAACAACAGTGTGTGTGTAATACCTGAAAATTAACTACAAGTTTTAAATACATGTACTGTGAAAATATTTTTTTTATTGTAAGTAATTGCTAACATTTATCAGAATATGTACATTTAAATAGCCACTTCAAAAATGAACAATGAGAATAAAACATTTTCACATTTGCATTATCATCAGTTTATGAATATACTCAGAATAAACATTTTAAATCTAATATTGAAACACTTTAAAGTAAAGGCTTTATAACGGCACCAGTAATAAAAACAAAAATACAACTCAAGCTAGTGATTAACCACAAAGTTTTCCTTACTCTCATCAATATAAGTATTACTGCAATAGTTACTCTCATATGTAGAAATTATCTTGACTCCAAAATGAACACAAAATTATTTCATTTTTCTTATTTATTATTATGTTCATATTTATTCATCTTATTCTCTATTTTCAGTTGAGATTTCTTTGGGATTTGTTTACACATAATATAGGCACAATCTTGATTATAGTTAATAGACTAATACTATATCATAGTTCGACAAAATGGCTGACTAGGTAGTACTTAGGTTTTTGTTGCGATAACCATAGTACATAGTTGTGTTTAATTTAATGCATCACCCTATGTAAATATCTTGATCAGATGTCTTATTAATAGTCAATAATTGTCCTGCACTGAATTGTAATCTTGCCTAGTGGAAAATAAAATAGAACTAAAGACTGATATTCCAGATGTTTCTGAACACAGAGAATGACTTAGATATTGCTTGAAACTCAGAAGTGTTACAAGTTTGAATTAATAGGAGTTTCTTAGTGTTGTATCATCAAGCAGATTGTTATGACATGAACATCCAACATGCTTCCTCATGGCAGTTTGTTCATCACTGATCTTTACAAAACTTATTTCCAAGTTATGAATAAATCAAAAGACAGAAACAAACCTCATAGTTTTCCACAATTCCCATTCTCTTCAGAGCCATCAACCGGCTAAAAAACCAAATAAAAAACATAAGATATCTATACCTATATATATACACCCATTCATACATACACACAGATAATGATGGAAAAAAAATTAATAGATAGATGTAAAATAAGACATTTAGATACATATACAAGGAAACAGAGAGGCAGACACAGGTATATAAATATTAATCATCTGAAGCATCTTGTTTATGAGCTGCAATTGTGTTTAGTTCAGGTTTGAATAAAACATTATGTATCAGTCACATTATAGCTGTTAATGGGATACAACTGTATTTGATGTTTCAGTCATGCTATAGCTGTTATTGAGCTGCAACTGTATTTAACGTATCAGTCACGTTGTGGGCGTTAATGGGCTACAACTGTTCGTTTCAGAAAAAAAAATCATTACTGAATAAATATATTTACGTGTAGGTTTCATTTAACAATTGAAAATAACTTATTTTCATGAAAGTACCCACTCAATAAGTTGTACATATTTTTTTAAAGAAAAACACTTACTTTGAAAGCAACAACATTTTAAGCTTGAAATCTAAAAGATTTTATCATATTTCAAACATAATATATATTAGAGAAAAAATCACCTCTTTTTGTTCTACAAATACAGGGAAATTTGCTAAATAAAAAATAATATTCTATTCTAAAATAAGCAAAAGTAAATTTTATTTTCCAAAATAGTTAATTTAATATTTTCAATCCACAACAAATTGTTATGTACTGTATCTCTTTAAAAATCGAAAGATGGCTTTAATTTGTACATTTAAATTTACTGGTACAGCTAAAATACTTAAGCCAACAGTAACTACTGTATGGTGTCCAACTAAAGTAGCTTAAAAAGAAACCAAAAATGTCTGAAGTACTACTGGTTGGTGTAGTATATAGGTAAAAATCAAAACAAAAGGTTAATCAAAAACTTGGATTCCCATTGAATTGAGGAAATATTTAAGAAGTGAACTAAAAATCGTCTTAGCAGAATACAGCAAAAAAGTGGGGTTAAATGTGAATGTTTTTACTGTGAGTGCCATTGTTGGGAGTTTGTTTTAGGATGTTCATTATTATTATTGTCATCATTTTAAATAAGTTCTTGAGCTATAACTTTTCAATTTGGGCTGCTCTTACTAAGATTCTTGAAGAGACTGATGGTGTTGAGTTTTTCATGACCAGAAGAAGTTAAACAGTATTAAAAACTGGGACAGAGCATGAAATACAATGTGAAACTTGTGGTAAGTATTACAGATATAAATAATTTACTATTGAATGTGATATCCCTGCAAAATAATGCATAATGAAATACATTTCCCTATTTCAATTTGGAATAAATATTGAAATACTTATATAAGTTATATTATTATACAAACAAAACATCAATATTAAAAGCATACGGCATACTGCCAGAAAATTTTTTCATTTTGTGCAAGACTAATTAACACTAAATTCCCAGCAATTTGTAAGACTACAATGTAAATACTGCACAATCTACTTGTTAAATTAACCTTCTTCAGCTCCATCTGTAGCAATATCTTAAGCAAGATCATATACATCACACAAGTGTCAATGGGTCATATAAATTATATATATATATACAAATGTTTTTAAATTTTAGGTATTTAAACGCAATAATAGATTCACACATAAAAAATACGACTAATGAAGTCTGAATACCACTAGTCTGCCTCATATTTCTTTGGTTGAAAGAGTCACAATAAGCGTTAAGATTTAATAGAGACAGAAGCTGAGAAGGCACACTATACTATATGATATATCATGTCTATACCTGTACGGATTGGAGTCTACAACCTCAGCACTCATGCTCGTAATTTTGTCCCTAACAGTAACAGTTTCAACACTTTCATTCTCTTTCTTTTGACGTAGTTGATCTTCCAAGATCTTTATTTTGGCTATCAATTCTTCTACTGAACTCATTATTCAAAATTTCTCAATAATAGTTAGTCTAGTAACACCATATGTTATACACTGCTATTATCCTTAGTACAGTCTAATTAACGCTCCACGTACTACTGCTTACAACAAGCAGTACGACTTTAAATCTAATTTTTCTCGGATGGACACGTGAAGCTACACAGTAGCTCCATCTAGAATAACATTTTAAAAATCTCAAGTGATATACTTTTTTTTGCGAGTTATGGGAGCGCCATCAGCAGATGATATGCCTCCAATTTCACCGATCTGATCTAGTTGAACTAGATACATTCGTCACTCTGCCATTTAGCATTAAGGAAAAGTTGGTAGTTACATATACATACATACATTTTTTCCCCATTTTCTTTTTTATTATTATACTTTTTTGTTGTTGTGTTTGTAGTTAATTGTGTTACACTAAAAATCCTACAAGGTCGTGTTATTGGAAAATACATAAGGAAAAAGTTTACATAGTTAGTTCTTCTCGACTGAGGCCACTCCAGCCAATGGAGACAAGGACAAAACAAGTAGCCCTATTAGTAAGAAGAAAAGGACATTAAATTTTTATGTTATTTATTATAACGAAGTTACAGATATATTGCGGGATAGAGACAATTCATAGTTAATAGAGAAAGGTAGGTAAAAGGGACTTTTATGTTACCCATCTGTTGTTTTATGGCTACTCGATCTCTTTGGTAATATGTACATTCCATGAAAGCGTGTTCTGGGTGTTCAAAAATTGAACAATGGCTCCATTTACCATTTGGGTGTACTTTTATTTGGTACAGATGCCCATTTAGACCTGTGCAATTAAACCGGAGGCGTGTGATAATAACTTCTTGATGTCTGTTCGTACATTCATACTTGATGTGAGAAGAAACAACAGGAACAATTTTCTTGTAGATATTGGAATGTTGCACGGAATTCCATCTACGCTGCCAGGTGTCTAAAATGAATTAATAAACTTGACCATAGAGGTCACGAAGTTCAATAGAAACTTTGTGACCCCAGGATATGCTAACGCATTCTTTGCAAAATGATCAACTATCTCATTTCCCTGGATTCCTATATGGCTAGGGACCCAAAGAAATTTGATGACCGTACGGCGACATAATCGGATAAGGTATATAAATACTTCACTCAGTAACATTGGGTTAGATGTAAAGGAACCGTTCTTAATCGAAAGTAATGAACTTAAAGAATCACTGACTACCAGAGCTTTCGTAACCTCGGAATCTTCCAGCCACAGAAGGGCTTGTAAGATAGCAAACAGTTCAGCCTTATATACAGAAGCTCGGAGATCTAGTTATGGAATCTGACAAAGTGGTATTAAATGACGGTCGTGAGACATATCTTGTTTGGGGTAATCTCTCTCCTCTAGATCTCACTATTGTAGACAGTAAACTTGCTAGTCTTGCTACCTGGGATGTTCTAGATGATGACCTGGGAAGTGACCACCTCCCGGTCATTACATCTGTTAAGATCCCTCTTGAAGTTAGGAGTACAACGGCCTTCTGTAACTTTAACAAAGCAAACTGGCTCAACTTCCATACGTTCCTTGATTCTTCCATTCAAAACATAGATATGTCTTCTTCTGTTGAATCTGTACATTCTCGTCTAATAACTATTATTTTGGAAGGAGCAGAGAAATTTATCCCACTATCAACCACAGACTGTGGAAAACATAAACCCCTTATTGGAATATGGAATGTGAGAAAGCAGTTAAACAAAAACACAAGAGTAGGAAGAAAGCTCTTAAAACCCGTCTCTTAGACGATTATATTGAGTATAAAAAGCAGAAGGCCATTTGTCAACGTACGGTTCGAGAACTCCAACAACGATTCTGGCATAATTACTGCTCTAGTTTCAACCGTTCATCAAATTTAAGTAAAATATGGAAATTCGTAAAGCGTATGAATGGTGGGGGTTCTATCTGTATTCCTACCCTTAAAACTCTTGGATCAACATATCTGGCGGATGTTGAAAAGGCAAATGCGCTATCTGATCAATTTGCCCACATCAGCAGTTCCGACAATTATTCACTCGAATTATTTGAACATGACTACTATGCCACCTTTACAAAGAAGCCAAACAATAGTAAAGGGTTGAATGCTCAATTCACGATCGGTGAAATTAACCGAGCAATAAAGACATCTAAAAACTCGGCCCCTGGTGACGATCGAATTCCTTATAAAATCTATAAAAATGTTTCGCCCAATTTTTTGTTAAAGCTGCTGAAATATTTCAATAAGGTATGGAATGAAGGTACCCACCCTTCAGCCTGGAAACATGCCATAGTTTGTCCAATCCCTAAGCCAGACAAGGATCCAAGTTCTGTTACATCGTATCGACCAACTGCTCTTACTTCTACCATGTGTAAAATTATGGAACGAATGATTGCATACTGTTTGAATTGGTATTGTGAAAAACATAAACTTTTCGACCAGTTTCAGTCTGGTTTCCGTTGGAAGAAGTCACCACTTGATCATTTGGTAGGGCTACATGAAGATGTCAACAAATCATTATGTAACAGAGGCAAGGCAGTGTCTGTATTCTTGGATATTGAACGAGCATACGATATGGTCTGGAAAGAAGGTTTGTTATATAAACTCAATAGTTATGGTTTTGATGGCCAACTCTTATTAAAGACTTTCTTTCAAACCGATCCTTTAAGGTCAGAGTCAATGGAGTCGTCTCTGGGGAAAGAGTCTCGGAAAATGGCACTCCCCAGGGTTGTGTTATTAGCCCTAATTTATTCCTTCTAATGATTAATGATCTTAGTTCTTCCTTCATTAATAATGGTACGAATTATAGTATTTTAGCTGATGATCTAGCCCTCTGGAAAAACTGCTCGTAATATTAATCACATTCAAACCTGTCTTCAAACAAATCTGGATAATTTAGCCGATTGGTTTTTTAAATGGGGCTTTACGGTTTCAGCCCTAAAGTCTGCAGTTCTACCTTTTTCTCGTACTTCAAGCACTGTGAAATTAAGTTTTAATAACCATCAACTAGTCTCCATCACTCACCACAAATTTCTTGGAGTTATCTTTGATTCCAGGTTAAATTGGACGCGTCATAACACCTATGTCTCGCACAAATGTGCTAAGCGATTCAATTTGCTTGAATGTGTTTCTGGCACACGTTGGGGAGCGTCCAAAAAGAATTTAATACTTATGTACAAAACCTTAATAAGATCCGTCATTGATTATGGCAGTATCATTTATGACTCTGCGAGTCGCTCAGTCCTTAAACAACTGGACGTTATTCAGAATCGTTGTCTGCGATTATGTTGTGGAGCATTGAAACACACCCATATATCGGCTATGGAAGTGGACTGTGGTGTCCTACCCCTTGACCTGCAGAGACGGAAGATCCAACTCAAATTTATAGCAAGATCTTTGTGTTACGATTATTCCGTTCATTTCATTCAAAAGAATTGGCAAGATTATTACGGAACCTTTCACCAAAATAACTCACCAATGTCGATAAAAACTGAAGACTTCTTCTCGTCCGTGAACCTACAAAATGTTGCAAAATACAAATATTTTCCCTTTCCTCCTTGGGAGATTCCAACCCCTGATGTCGACGTCAGTCTTAATTATGCTGGTAAAAAACGGGAGCAAAGTTATTTGCTTTTGTCCTTGGCCAAGGAGAAACTAGCTAGTTTCTCAGACTATACTAGCATCTTTACGGGTGGCTCCAAGTCTACCAGTTTTACTTCATTGGCGTTTTATATAAACAATGTCAACATCAGAAAATTATTTAACACTGCACCTAAATCTGACCTCGACAGTCAGTTTTTGTTCCACCCCATAAAGGGTTGTAAAGCATTAAAATCTCCACAAAGTATACTATTAGGAAGAAAAAACTCTCGATACTCAACAGGATCAATGGCGACACCAGGGTTATAAATATTAAATATCGTGACACTTCCCATAAAAGTCTGACACTGAATCCCAACAGCTTCTATATTTTCTGGGCAAGTAACGACAGTAAACAGCAAGCGATTCTTGACAAGAGTTAGTACACCTCCCTTTGCTGAGTGTTCTCGATCTTTTCGAATAGGTTTATAACCGTGTATGCAGAATTTTATATGGGGTTTGAGAAACGATTCCTGAATACAGATAATATAATGAGTTTCAATGTAACGAATAAGGAATGAAGCATGAGCCTTAATGCCCCTGGCATTCCACTGTAATATTTGTAAAGGGCCTATTGTTTATTTGTAGGATCACTTACTTGGTAAAGTTCATAAATTGAGTCTGGATTAATATCGTAACCAAAAATGGTACTTGCCAATTCGGTTATGAAAGATATCCTCGTTTTTCTGCAATTTTTTTGCCAAAAGGACTGGTCTTGAGCGATCGAAATTATTTTGGCTACGAAAGTAACGATTTGTTCAAACAGTTGAGGTGACATACGATGACTATTTGAAGCACTATCCTGTTGAGAAGTGTTTTCGTTACATTTGTCGGGAGATCGAGGTTTCTGTGGTTCGTTAGGCAGATGGTTTGTTTCCACAGGCTGTCGTTTCTGTGCAACAATTTGGAGTGCTTGGGCGTAACTCAGTTTTGACTGTACTCTAACAATTTGAACCTCCTTTGCCTCCTGAAA